GTTAAGCATGGTGCACTTAAACTATCAAGTAGTCATCATTTGAGCAAGCCAAACGTTCATAACGTCTGCATCTGCTCCTGCAATAGGTCCGTCACCTAGCGGTGCATCAAGGACATAATTCTTCTGTGCAGCAATGAGGATAAACCTCAGATCACGGATCCAATCCGCATCTTTGCTACTAACATCTTTCAACACAATTTTCTCTAGGAACATATCAGAATAAACATATGAAAGCAACAACGCGAGCTATTGATCTACAACATAGATATGCTAATACTACCAGGACTAAGTTCATGATAAATTAAAGTTCAATTAATCATATTACTAAAGAACTCCCACTTAGATAGACATCCCTCTAATCCTCTAAGTGATCACGTGATCCAAATCAACTAAACCATGACCGATCATCACGTGAGATGGAGTAGTTTTCAGTGGTGAACATCGTTATGTTGATCATATCTACTATATGATTCACGCTCGACCTTTCGGTCTCCGTGTTCCGAGGCCATATCTGCATATGCTAGGCTCGTCAAGTTTAACCTGAGTATTCTGCGTGTGCAAAAACTGGCTTGCACCCGTTGTAGATGGACGTAGAGCTTATCACACCCGATCATCACATGGTGTCTGGGCACGACGAACTTTGGCAACGGTGCATACTCAGGGAGAACACTTCTTGATAATTTAGTGAGAGATCATCTTATAATGCTACCGTCAATCAAAGCAAAATAAGATGCATAAAAAGATAAACATCACATGCAATCAATATAAGTGATATGATATGGCCATCATCATCTTGTGCCTGTGATCTCCATCTCCGAAGCACCGTCATGATCACCATCGTCACCGGCGCAACACCTTGATCTCCATCGTAGCATCGTTGTCGTCTCGCCAATCTTATGCTTCCACGACTATCACTACCGTTTAGTAATAAAGTAAAGCATTACATCGTGATTGCATTGCATACAATAAAGCGACAACCATATGGCTCCTGCCAGTTGCCGATAACTCGGTTACAAAACATGATCATGTCATACAATAAAATTCAGCATCATGCCTTGACCATATCACATCACAACATGCCCTGCAAAAACAAGTTAGACATCCTCTACTTTGTTGTTGCATGTTTTACGTGGCTGCTACGGGCTTAAGTAAGAACCAATCTCACCTACGCATCAAAACCACAACGATAGTTTGTCAAATAGACTCCGTTTTAACCTTCGCAAGGACCGGGCGTAGCCATACTTGGTTCAACTAAAGTTGGAGAGGCAGTCGCCCGCAAGCCATCTCTGTGCAAAGCACGTCGAGGGAACCGGTCTCGCGTAAGCGTACGCGTAAGGTTGGTCCGGGTCGTCTCGTCCAACAATACCGCCGAACCAAAGTATGACATGCTGGTAGGCAGTATGACTTGTATCGTCCACAACTCACTTGTGTTCTACTCGTGCATATAACATCAACATAAATAACCTAGGCTCGGATGCCACTGTTGGGGAACGTAGTAATTTCAAAATTTTCCTACGCACACGCAAGATCATGGTGATGCATAGCAACGAGAGGGGAGAGTGTTGTCTACGTACCCTCGTAGACCGAAGCGGAAGCGATCACAACGTAGAGGAAGTAGTCGGACGTTCTCCTCGCGATCCAACCGATCCCAGCGCCGTTACTCCGGCGCCTCCGAGTTCTTGACACACGTACAGCTCGGTGACGCTCCTCAGGCTCCAATCCAGTAGAGCTTCGGGGAGGGAGAGTTCCGTCAGCACGACGGCGTGGTGACGATCTTGATGTTCTACCGACGCAGGGCTTCGCCTAAGCACCGCTACGATATGACCGAGGTGGATTATGGTGGAGGGGGGCACCGCACACGGCTAAGGAACGATCTCAAGGATCAACTTGTGTGTTCTAGGGTGCCCCCCTGCCCCCGTATATAAAGGAGCAAGGGGGAGGCCGGCCGGCCCTAGGAGGTGCGCCAAGGGAGGGGGAAGTCCTCCTCCTAGTGGGAGTAGGACTCCCCTTTCCTAGTCCAACTAGGAAGGAGGAAGGGGGAAGGAAGGAGAGGGAGAGGGAGAGGGAAAGGGGGGGCCGCGCCCCTCCCTCCTTGTCCTATTCGGACTCCCTTGGGGGGGGGGGCGCCACCACCTGGTGCGGCCCTCTCTCTCCCCTCTTGGCCCACTAAGGCCCATAACTTCCCCGGGGGGGTTCCGGTAACCCCTCCGGCACTCCGGTTTTCTCCGGAAACTTCCGGAACCTTTCCGGTGTCCGAATATAGCCGTCCAATATATCAATCTTTATGTCTTGACCATTTCGAGACTCCTCGTCATGTCCGTGATCACATCCGGGACTCCGAACTCCTTCGGTACATCAAAATACACAAACTCATAATATAACCGTCATCGAAACCTTAAGCGTGCGGACCCTACGGTTCGAGAACAATGTAGACATGACTGAGACACGTCTCCGGTCAATAACCAATAGCGGGACCTGGATGCCCATATTGGTTCCTACATATTCTACGAAGATCTTTATCGGTCAGACCGCATAACAACATACGTTGTTCCCTTTGTCATCGGTATGTTACTTGCCCGAGATTCGATCGTCGGTATCCAATACCTAGTTCAATCTCGTTACCGGCAAGTCTCTTTACTCGTTCCGTAATACATCATCTCACAGCTAACTCATTAGTTGTAATGCTTGCAAGGCTTAAGTGATGTGTATTACCGAGAGGGCCCAGAGATACCTCTCCGACAATCGGAGTGACAAAACCTAATCTCGAAATACGCCAACCCAACATCTGCCTTTGGAGACACCTATAGTACTCCTTTATAATCACCCAGTTACGTTGTGACGTTTGGTAGCACCCAAAGTGTTCCTCCGGTAAACGGGAGTTGCATAATCTCATAGTTATAGGAACATGTATAAGTCATGAAGAAAAGCAATAGCAACATACTAAACGATCGGGTGCTAAGCTAATAAAATGGGTCATGTCAATCAGATCATTCAACTAATGATGTGACCTCGTTAATCAAATAACAACTCATTGTTCATGGTTAGGAAACATAACCATCTTTGATTAACGAGCTAGTCAAGTAGAGGCATACTAGTGACACTTTGTTTGTCTATGTATTCACACATGTATTATGTTTCCGGTTAATACAATTCTAGCATGAATAATAAACATTTATCATGAAATAAGGAAATAAATAATAACTTTATTATTGCCTCTAGGGCATATTTCCTTCAGTCACCTGCTGGAAAAAGTTAGGGTCATTTCAAGAATGTCCAAAAAAACATCATGTTCAATGTAGCGTGCCCGTGTAGGCACCCATGCAAGGTTTGAAGGAAAAAGTATTTAAAATCATAATTTATATAGGTACATAAAACTATCATTTTAAGTTTTTAACATAACTAATAAATACAAAATGATAAAATCGAAAACAGAGTTAAATTCATAACTAATAATTATTTAAAGGAAAAAAGAATTTAAATTCATGATTTTTAAAACAGTTACTTAAAACTGTTATTTTGGTATTTCAAATTTTTGAACAAGTTTCAAAAAGAATAATAAAGTTTAATAAGGCGAAAAATAAATTAATGAAAAAAGATAAAAAAAACTCAGGCCTTGCCCAACTAAGCGACGGCATCGCTCCTGTCGGGCGCCTATTGGAATTTGTTCAGAAATTCAAAAATGTTCCCATCTTCAAAATCGAATGTTCACAAATTAAAAATGTTTGGGAAAATTTAGAACATTTTTTTATTTCAATTTTTTGTTCACATTTCTGAAAAATATTTTGAAATTTAATTTTTTGTTCGTGTTCTCCAAAAGTGTTTGTTTTCACAATTTTGTTCGTCCTTTTGAAAAACTTATACGCACATTGATATTCTGAACAATTTTTGGAAGGCACAAACATTTGTTTTGAAATTACCTTACAATTTTCGAAAATGCGAATATTTTTAATTTATGAACAAATTTGAAAAGAACAAACTTATTGAAATTTTGAACAGCATTTTGAAAGCGTGAGTATTTTTTGAAAAAGAAGGAAGAAACGTAACCGGAAAACATATAACCGAAAATAAACAAATAAACAGAAACTATGGAAAAAATAGCGCTTCACAAAGTGTTCCTAAAATCTTTTTAAAATTCCCAGCTTATCAGTTACTTAAAGTGTCTAGTGTTACATCGTTCGCTAAAGGCATGCTGTTGCACTGATTGTATACGCACTTTATTATGTTGGGCGTCACGGGATCGATTCCCATGTTGCGCCGTATATACGTTACAAAAGTAGATACAAATTGTCCAAAGTCGAAATTGCCCTTTATACTTTTTAAGGGGATTGTACCGAAGCAGGTCTCGGAACAGAAATCGAATATAGTAGTTCTGAACGGCAGAGACATGAAATAAAGTCCACGATAACCCAACATAGTTAGTTCAAACTCGATGCTAAACATAGATAGGTAGGAATGGCCTGGCAAGCATTGCTTACTCCTCCTCGGCCAAGGCATTGGCACGTGTTGTGGCAGCGCCGTTCTCAGGGCCCCAATGGCGACAGGAGGGCTCGACGTGGCGCCTCAGAGGCGGTGATGGCATTGCAATTGGCTCTCCAGCATGGAGCGGTTGGGTTTACTGATACAGACTTTGATCGCCAAAGATGAGTATGATGAAAGAGAATTTTTAGGCCATGTCCTAAAGAAAACAGGGGCAGCAAACAGGACATGTAATGCAAGCCGTTGGGGCATTTTCCTTTTTGGGCACTTTGACACTTCGTAGGGATTGGACATGAGTTTACCAACTCTGTTGGAGATGCTCTTACATCATTATCTCACGTATCAATTTTAACATGCTTATTGTACATCTTTTGTTTTCAAAGAGTAGGATACTATATTTCAAAACACAGAATACATACATTGAAGTAGTTTCTTCAAATCATTCATGGAGATTTTCAAGGGCTGTTAACACGCTTAGTGAAGACATTTTGGCTCCTGGAACTTAGCACAACTCGTTGTCTGTCTCAAGGACCAGGCCCACTTGTTTCCGATGATCCAGCGCGCTCCACCATGATATCATAGAGTTGTCGGCCGTTCTGTGTTGTGAAATGAATTAAACCCAGTATGTAAGAATGAAGCTGTTGAGCTTATGGTTAACGAGTGGACTTACGAAAATCACTGGGAAGAAATGAATTTGGCCTTCGGGTTTTGTTTGGGTCTCTTTGAAGTAAACTAGGATAGGAAATTGCGGCCACCATAGTTCCCAGTTCACAAATGTTGAGTACCTATGCAATGTGTGCAATGTTAGAAAATACCGTAAAGCTTTTACCATCATAAGATAGATTAACTGGACAAGACAGTACAATCCTTGGTACAGAGCATATGAAGTATGCTTACTTCCAACGGTTCTTGCCACCAACAAACACGTTTTCGCCTGACTCCTGCAGCTGATTGCCCACTTTCACTTCCTATATAATACAAACTTATGAAGTTTGAGATGTGAAACATGTATAGTACCATCTGCAACAACTGAGTATTGAAAGAATGAAATCCTTATGTTATGGAAAGGAGAAGCATCATTCAAGAAGAAATATTAATGCTTCAGCTAGTAAGACCCAACGCGATATCCAACAAGTGACTAGTAGAATGGCAACTTGTACATAACAGATTTACTTAGCTTTGTTGTGAGCATTTTCCAAACTTACAACCAACAATTTTATACATGTTTTGTGCATATTCCTCTCACATAGACAAAGTGCACTAACCAGGGAATCATCATCAAAGACGAACCTAACTCTAGTAGTCTGCAAAAAAAAAAGTGAACACATCAGTCTCAGCATGAACATAGAAATAAATCATACCTAAGAAATGATCAGGATAAGTTAGTTTCTCTGATTTATCAGTAACATCGGCCCTCGCTTTTAGAGCAGCATGAATAGCAAATGCTGGCAGTGGTTCCTTTCAGAGGAATATGTTAAGACGAAAAATCAGTGTCAATCTGATGATGGTGGAGCTCAATATGTTCTCAGTGAATAACCCGATTTGAGCTGGAATGAGGCTACTTATAGATTTGAGTGTTTTTTCGAGAACTGTGATATGGATGATCCATGACTTTACACTGTTTAGTTACATATGCACTGTGGAGACAAAAAACTCGTAGAATATAGTACAATCGTACATGTTTTTCAGCTATAACTCAAACAGATAGTCTAAAAGCAGAGACCTGAAACAAGAGAAGCAGCCCCAGTAGGCCTACAGGTGCAGCGGCAAGAAGATTGTCTGCATATGCAAACACACCAGATATCCCTGTATTTCGACAAAATAGTGGTTATATATCTTCTTTTAGTTTGACATAGAATTACATTTCCAGAGAACAGAGATGTTCTATATACTTACTACCTCCAGAGCTCACCAAGTATAGCGATCGGTAACCGATAGTCTGGGTCCGGGACGACCGTTTCTCTGGTGGTCTTCTTCGCGGTCTTTCTCCCAAACTGCGAAGAAGGGGAGGACAACACAGGTTACCAGATTGATGCAAATAGAAGATTGAAAGTAGAGTACACCACGGAGGTAGTACTTCACAAAGATGTTTGTGAGCTAACCAGAGATACTATTGGTGTGCTTCGGTGTTGCTTCCGGCCCTGTCTCCTCATACCAGCAAAATGCCCCTTGCATGGTAGATTTGCAGTGCTCCATGATGGACCAGCTGAAACCACATGTCTAGCTGAAGATGTATAAAAGGAAAAAAAAGGTCATGTCACTGGATGTGCTTTACATTGGACTGCCTTCATTCATTCAGGAAGCACATATGCAAGACATGAACTAATGTTTTTTTCTGCAGCGAAATTAACAAACATTTCTACTCGATTCCAATTTACTGCGAGTTCAGATGAGCAGCATGTGCCCAAGCAACACAGGGCCTATCCAAACCCTATCCAGCCTAACCAAGCAGAAGCCACCGCTTTGAGCTCGGAATCACTACGCGGGCAGAGGTGCTACGCTGGACGGCAAGAACTTCAGTGAGAGGGGAGTCATCGGAGGTAGGTGGGTACCTCTGGGCGGAGTGGCGAGGAAGAGGGGAGAAGATAACGAGAGAGTGGTCGCCATGGCTGCTGCTCCTCTCCTCTCCGCCGCTCGCTCGCTTCCTCCTTTCCTCTCGTCGTCTGGGGGCGGCCCTGAATCGTCACGGATGCAAGCGCGCATGGTGCCCAGGGCCCGAGAGGCCCAGGCTAATTCGGTGGGCCGGCTCTTAGGTGGGCTACAGAAGAAGTACGTCAGGTACCGCTGTTGGGCTTCACCCAAAACGACAGTTTTTCCTCGAAAAAAAAACACCCAAAACGACAGTTTTGTGTAGACACGTGGCGTTCGCTGCTGATCATCTTGGGGAGCAAGCCTAGAGTTTTTCCGTCCCCGTTCGGTTGGCTAACCGATTTTAAAATATACTCTCTCCGTTTAGTTGACTCTAAATTTTCTGATTTCGACCCCGCAGCTTCCACGTCTCTACACAAATACTACTAGTATAACCAAGCCCCAAAAGAAAATTCACGTGGTCATATGCCTGGTTAGGGCGGCCTAACCTTTGTTTGGTGGCAAAAGGTGCATTAAATAATATACTCTTCTATGCTAGGCTTTTCATCGTCGACCCTTAGTACAATATGGAATGTGGATGCAGGTCTTGGAAAACTAGTCACACATGAATGATACATCACACCCGGAAGTGTCAAAGACGCTTCTGTTCACGAGAGGTCGACGATGACACACACAAATACATTTTGTTCGGTGAGAGAAGGGGAGTTATTGAATCTGTCCACGAGAAGAAATAAAAATAGAAATAGAATGCAAAATAGACATTCCCGGTCCCGATACGTGCGGAGTGCAAAATAGACATTCCCGGGGGGCTCGGAGCGGAAGGACAGGAAAAAGAGCCGGCGCTTTATTAGGGTAAGGCAACTCCAAATTGCTGGCTCCCGTCCCTCTCCGAGCATTCGCCGCTTCCCCCCCGACCCTCTCGATCCGCCCACCTTCCCCTTCCCCTTCCCCACGCGTAAGCCTCCCTGAACTCTGAAACTTCCCTGTCGAATTCGCCGCGTCCCTCCGCGCGTTTGATCTGCCAGTTGCTTCTGATCCATCCGCCGCGCCGCAGCGACTTGCAATCGCGGCTCTCTTGATTTTTTTTTTCGAATTTACGTACGGCCATTAGGAATCCCGCGAGGTGCTCCGTTCTTTTTCTGTGTTTTTCTCTGATGGATGCTGGAATTTTGGATCGGCGCCGTTTCCGCGCGATTTTCCGTTGTTGTTTTCGGTTCTGGAGGAATCTAGGAGCCAATGCTACGATGTGTTTTCTGGGCGTGCTCGTGGTCGCTGTGATTTTTTTTATCTGCTGGATTTTTGGTTGGTTCGGTGGAGCCCTAGGGTCTGATTAAACCATCTTGTTCGTGCTCTGTGCAGCTGTGGTAGCCGCGTGCTCCGTCCATGGCGTTCTTCCGGGGCCTCGCCGCGGTCTCGAGGCTGCGATCCCGTATGGTGAGTCAATCCGTCAGAACCCGCGGGTTGCATCGGGTGGGGATGCACCCTGTAAGCGTTTGTTAATGCTGATTTTTTTTGTTGTTGTTGCCAGGGGCAGGATGCCACCACGCTTGGTGGTGTGAGATGGCTGCAGATGCAGAGCGCTTCCGATCTCGTAAGACAACAATCTTCCTGTTCTGTTCTGCGCTTGAATTTGTATGGGATACTGTGATTGGAAACTGGTGGTCGCTGTTTGATGGCTGGATTTTTTGAGAGGGGGATTTTTATTTTTTCTGAACATGACGCTGACGTGTTTCTGAAAATGCAGGATCTTAGGTCCCAGCTGCAGGAAATGATTCCGGAGCAACAGGTTTGTGGCTCACTCGTGCATTCTCTTGTAAAGTTGGAAAGTACTCGTGGTATCTGATTCCTTATCTTCTCTTTTTACCAACCCCTGTTATTTGCTCAACCAGTGTTAACCCTGTCAGTTCATGTGATTCTGTGTCACAGCATGCTTAGTTTCTGCTCCCAAATAGTGTAGAACACCATTTATTCGCAAATGCCATGGTGTAACATGCTAGCAAATAATAATTGTTGCAAACTAGTAGCATTTAATACCTTAACGCCTTTAAGGAACAAATTTACCTTGGTTCAAATATATTATGCCTGCGCTGCACTAGATTGTGTTACCTTCCTACAACAACAACAACAACAAAGCCTTTAGTCCCAAACAAGTTGGGGTAGGCTAGAGGTGAAACCCATAAGATCTCGCAACCAACTCATGGCTCTGGCACATGGATAGCAAGCTTCCACGCACCCCTGTCCATAGCTAGCTCTTTGGTGATACTCCAATCCTCCAGGTCTCTCTTAACGGGCTCCTCCCATGTCAAATTCGGTCTACCCCGCCCTCTCTTGACATTCTCCGCACGCTTTAGCCGTCCGCTATGCACTGGAGCTTCTGGAGGCCTGCGCTGAATATGCCCAAACCATCTCAGACAATGTTGGACAAGCTTCTCCTCAATTGGTGCTACCCCAACTCTATCTCGTATATCATCATTCCGGACTCGATCCTTCCTCGTGTGGCCACACATCCATCTCAGCATACGCATCTCCGCCACACCTAACTGTTGAACATGTCGCCTTTTAGTCGGCCAACACTCCGCGCCATACAACATTGTGGATTGAACCGCCGTCCTGTAGAACTTGCCTTTTAGCTTTTGTGGCACTCTCTTGTCACAGAGAATGCCAGAAGCTTGGCGCCACTTCATCCATCCGGCTTTGATTCGATGGTTCACATCTTCATCAATACCCCCATCCTCCTGCAACATTGACCCCAAATACCGAAAGGTGTCCTTCAGAGGTGCCACCCGGCCATCAAGGCTAACCTCCTCCTCCTCACACCTAGTAGTACTGAAACCGCACATCATGTACTCGGTTTTAGTTCTACTAAGCCTAAACCCTTTCGATTCCAAGGTTTGTCTCCATAACTCTAACTTCCTATTTACCCCCGTCCGACTATCGTCAACTAGCACCACATCGTCCGCAAAGAGCATTCACCATGGGATATCTCCTTGTATATCCCTTGTGACCTCATCCATCACCAATGCAAAAAGATAAGGGCTCAAAGCTGACCCCTGATGCAGTCCTATCTTAATCGGGAAGTCATCGGTGTCGACCTCACTTGTTTGAACACTTGTCACAACATTATCATACATGTCCTTGATGAGTGTAATGTACTTTGCTGGGACTTTGTGTTTCTCCAAGGCCCACCACATGACATTCCGCGGTATCTTATCATAGGCCTTCTCCAAGTCAATGAACACCATATGCAAGTCCTGATATGAAAATAAATTAGAAGATTAGCCAATTACGCTCTTAGTATTATTAGTTTCACAAAGTTCAGTTTTGCACTTGAGTTTAAAGAAACAGAATCAGAATATTCAGAGCATGTGTTGGAGAGGTGCTACTTGGATTCGTCCGTCTTCGCCGCTCTAACCACTTGTTTTTATGAAAGAATAATTCTGTCGGTTCAAAGTTATTTCATGTTGATTGCATTTTGTTACAGGACCGCTTGAAGAAACTAAAGTCAGAGCATGGAAAGGTCCAGCTTGGAAACATAACTGTGGACATGGTATGCATTTAGTAACATTTTTCTTTAAAAACTCTGTTTCTATGCCCGGCCTAATTCTGAACAATGCTTCGTCTTTCTCCAGGTCCTTGGTGGGATGAGAGGGATGACTGGAATGCTCTGGGAAACATCTTTACTTGACCCGGAGGAGGTGTCCTTTAATTGCTCTGCTTTGTAGTGCCATGGGTGCTATAATAAGACAAATTAAATATTAGCTTGTATATCTAGGAATTTTCTGTGGGTTAGAAAATATATTATTTGATTATCTTGAGATCTCCAGTCAAGTTTCTGTGCCGAACCTGAGCTTAATCTATCACTGTATGCTGCAATATGTATCACTTTCCAGAATTGACTATAGCACAAACTTGATTAATTCGTCATACATCAACTTGCTTGACTACAAGAGCATAATCCTTTATGATTTATATTTGAGCATGCCTCCCTCATTGCAGAGTTTTGATAGAATTAGTTCTTAGTTTGGTTTGAGATATTTAATTTTATGCATCACTGTATATCTCTGTTGATGCCTGTAATTTATGTGCTTTCTATTCAGGGTATTCGATTTAGAGGTCTCTCTATTCCAGAGTGCCAGAAAGTACTGCCGGCTGCAGTTAAAGATGGAGAACCTTTACCTGAGGGTCTCCTTTGGCTTCTTTTGACCGGAAAGGTTTGACTTGTTATGAAACATGTACCCCTTTTTAGTTTAGTGGTCTATGAAAATAGCTCCTTCGAAAATAGGAGGTATAATCTGTTCATTGATGTAGTAGATGACATAACGTCTTGGTTGACTTTCCTGTTATACATGGGACTTCGTCTATTTTGAGTGTGCCATGTTCTCCCTCTATTTTGTAAACTTTTAAGTGTTTAGCGTGCGCTGATTGGTCATTGCTTGTTTCAGGTGCCAACCAAGGAGCAAGTTGATGCTCTATCAAAGGAGTTGCTTAGCCGTTCGATTGTTCCAGGTCCCTTGTCACCCCTGCTCAGTATCAGTGTTGTAGAGTTCATATGTAGTCATAGATGACCAGAAAGATTAGGAAGTCATGTTGCTATCAAATAGTCAAGTTTTATTATCTGAGTACACATAAACATCATCCTGAATTTCTGGTATAGTATAGCTTAATGGGAAAAGCTGAGGGGGAACTTCCACTTTCTTTGTGAATCTGTATATAAGCTGTTGCTAACTCTTTTGATGTTTGGTAGTAGTTTGAAAGTGTAAGCTGTTATTAACTCCACTGAAATTTAGCAGTCGAAAGTTAGTATACAAGACATTCATTTGTTCCAGATCCATTGATGTTCTGCATTGACAACTTGTGTTTTCCTTGGATAGAATAACTTGGATTTTTGTTACTCAATCTTGAAATTTTGGTTTTGAGTTTCTTGAATATATTCAATTTCACAATTTTTGTGGCAGGGACACTGACACACTGTTCTGTAAAGTTGCATTGCTTATAAATATTTGCTCTGTTTCTCAATTGTGATATCCTCTCACGCGGCTTATTTGACTTGCATGCAGGTTATGTCTATAAGGCGATAGATGCTCTCCCTGTTACTGCTCATCCAATGACACAGTTTACCACAGGAGTGATGGCACTCCAAGTAAGCCCTTTGTATTTTATGTTATTGTTAATTATCACTGTTCTGAAATGAAGAACACATTGCATTGGGTGTACTGAGTTGTGAAGTGCCATTAGAAAGAAATAAGAATCAAAACTACAGAAGGTGTGCGGAATTCTTTTAGACCCCCCAAGTGAGTTAATTTGGTCTGTTCTATTTTAACACTATTTCAGGTTGAGAGTGAATTTCAAAAGGCTTACGACAAGGGAATGCCCAAAACAAAGTATGCTTGAGCTCTAATGCCTTGAAATTTGTTCATCTGCTCAATGGTGATCTTGCATGTCATTTATGGTGTTCTTTTTTTGCATAGGTTCTGGGAGCCTACATACGAAGATTGCTTAAATTTGATTGCTCGGCTTCCACAAGTGGCTTCATATGTTTACCGGAGGTAGCTTTTCTTCTATCAGATGCACTGTATTGTACTCCCTCTGTAAACAAATATAAGAGCGTTTAGATCACTAAAGTAGTGATTTAAACGCTCTTATATTTGTTTACAGAGGGAGTACTACACTAACTGGAGCATGTTATTGCTCAATTAAGATTTTTCCTAATTAGTACACTTGGTATTATTTTTTGTGCTGCAATTGAAATAATCCTATTGCTCTGGTTTTCTGAAGGATTTTCAAGGATGGGAAAGCTATTGCAGCTGATAATACACTGGACTACGCAGCGAATTTTTCACACATGCTTGGTTTTGATGACCCAAAAATGCTGGAGTTGATGCGCCTATACATAACAATTCACACGTAATTTCGTCGATCCTTGTTTATGTTTCTATATTTATCTCTGAAGGATGTACGTTGATTTTCCCTCATACTACTACCTGTTTTCTTGCAGTGATCATGAAGGCGGGAATGTCAGTGCTCATACAGGGCATCTGGTAATATTTTCTTCCTTCCATCGATCTTGAATTTTTTCTTGTTAGTGTTCCCACCATTGTCTTGAACTGCCAAAGCATGACTGCTGGCTACAGTACGGAAATATGATTTGGCTGCATCATTGTGTGTATCGTATATACACTACAGTTTGGCATGCACTGTTGCATCATACATCACTGCTGCTTGAATGTGTTTGTGATTTATCAACCATGACGCATGTCTGATAAAGTAGTTATCATGGTTCCTAGACAAACACTTGTGACCAGAGAGGGCCGCTTCACCAATTGTAGGATAACCATAGTAGTGTTGTACTAGCAACTAGGAGTATAATTGGAAGCAATGGTTTAAATTCAGTTCTTCGCAAAGTTGTGGTATTGACAGATCTGCTGATGGCACCCTTACTCCTTCTAAATGCATAGTCATGGTTAAAAGTATATGTTTATTTCTTCTGGATTATGTGTTGTTCCTCTAGAAAAAATATGTGTATTTTGAGGCAATGAAAATTTATGATCTGTGTGTCTTGTAGAGGCATTGGAAAACAAAATACATTGTCGTAATATGTTAGCTTAAAGGAGATCATCTAAAGAGAAGGGTGGAATTGATCTCCCTCTTTTTGAAGTATAGTTCTAAATGTAAATAGTATAAGTTTGCCTCCAAACTTGTAGTGGATCAAGTTGTAGCCTACTTGAAGTGTAGCAGCTTTATAATCTGCTAATTTAGAGACTGTTTTTGCTGTTCCATATAGGGCTTTTCAATTCTCTGTGTTGCTGTTTATGTTCCTACTAGCTTAGTGTGCTTTGGTTGTTTTACTTGTTTCTATTTATATCCTCTACGCGCACTGAGCTGTTGTTTATCCAGAACTAACGGTATTTATTCGATCACAGGTTGGAAGTGCTCTGTCAGATCCCTACCTTTCTTTTGCAGCGGCACTAAACGGTTTGGCTGGGCCACTGCACGGCCTGGCTAATCAGGTACACTTGATTTTATGTGTAGTGGATGTTCTCTGCTATATCATGCTCAACTTATGCTTGCTAAATGGATCTACTGGAACAAATTGTCCGTAATAAATTCATATTAACAAATTGCAAAACTCCTTGTAGCGGTGCTATTTACCCACTTCCTTTTGCATATGATGTTAAGAAGAAGAAAACACAAGTTCCTGTTATTTTAAAATGGTGTATTTACTGTTTGGATGTGCATGAACTGACAATAGTCACCATATACTGCAGGAAGTGTTGCTATGGATCAAATCTGTAATGGAAGAAACCGGGAGTAACATTACAACCGACCAGCTTAAGGAATATGTATGGAAGACACTGAAGAGTGGAAAGGTAGCTTATCTCAAAACGAGTTACATCTATTCAATGAGCAAACACTACTGTTTATGAGTTTATGGGAAGTTTGCACTGCTAAACTATTCTAGTTGAATGCTGAACAATAGATCTAGGATAGTTGCCTTCTATTGGATCCTCCTTTCTCCTGGGCTGGTTATGAAAATGATTTTTCTCTGTTGATCTTTCTTTGTTTATTTTACTTTTCTTCATTTGAACTTAAAAATAAAGGTCTAAATTACTTCCGGTTGCGTTCATAGGTTGTTCCTGGCTATGGTCATGGAGTTCTTCGTAATACAGATCCACGATACTCGTGCCAAAGGGAGTTTGCGTTGAAATATTTACCAGAGGACCCACTTTTCCAACTGGTTAGTTAAAAGCCTTGATCTAACTGCATGGTCTCTCTTCAGTTCAACAGTCTCAGTGGGATATATTATTGTTCCCTTTCAGGTCTCCAAGTTGTATGAAGTTGTACCTCCGATCCTCACCGAGTTAGGCAAGGTAATGAGTTTCCAGATTAATCACAATTACTCCTTTAATTTCAGCTTTCTAGGTATGGACACAATCTTTCTTCTATGCATTTTCAGGTGAAAAACCCATGGCCCAATGTCGATGCTCACAGTGGAGTGTTGCTCAACCACTTCGGATTAACTGAAGCACGGTATATTAATTTCTCTCGCTTAAATTTATCAATTCACCAGACATATGTTTAACGTACAGTACAATAGAAAATCTAGTTCAGCATTAGTAACGGGTATGCCTTGTCTGATCTTTAGGTATTACACTGTCTTGTTCGGTGTCTCAAGGAGCATAGGAATTGGATCTCAGGTTTGCCCTCCCCTTCAATTTCCAGATGTTTCTTTGTTTGGTTATCCATCTGCTAATCTTGATCAATTATTTGTTACACAGCTCATCTGGGACCGTGCCCTTGGCCTACCGCTTGAAAGACCGAAGAGTGTCACCATGGAGTGGCTGGAAAACCACTGCAAGAAGGTTGCGGCTTGAAGCTACACCAGTTCTTCATCTTACAACTCGAGTTGCCTTTGATGTTAATAATTCGACGACATAAATTAGGCACATTTAGCCTCATTTCCCCATCTTTTTCCTGTCCAATAACTGGAGCAAGAGGGGCTCCCAGACGGTAGAATTTTGTACCCAAGTCGAACAATCTGTTAAACCTGGCATGAAAGAGTAGGACACGATGCTTGGGCTTTGTGTCGCTCGGCAACGTTTTTGTACTTTATGTTTTTCGAGTTCTGAACCACACCAGTTAGGGAATACGGCAGAATAATCTGACATTTCTACTGAGGTGTTTGTATTTGTGAGTTATACCATGCAATTACGTTTTGTGTGCTGTGTGTATATCACATGAGGGCTCCTTTGATCCACAGGGTTTGGGAAGCGTCGGAATAGGAAATGTATAGGAATAGGATATACTGTCCACTGAAATCCTACGTCGGGTAGCAAAACAGAGGATTTTTTTTCCATGAAGTCCAACCTCATGCTTGTTTTTTTGTGGAAATGAACTAAGAAGTTCATATATGATTGGTTTCTGAGGAATGCAATCCTGCGAATCAAACAACATTTTAAGGGAAAATTCCAGAGGGTGTTGATCTTGTAAAATTTCTATGCAAATCCTGTAAATCAAATGAGGCCTCCCAAAATGATGCTAGATGTGCTTCTCAATTTGCTATGAGCACTTATTCAAAATTCAATTGAAAAGAAAACAGAATTCAGAAAAGCTTTTATCTCTTATTTTAAGTTGGAATGTTAAATGTTTTCCATTTCCCTAGGTTATCTTTATACTTATATTTTTAGAGTACTTTATATGCACATTAATGGTATTTTGTGTGTGGCATGACTTGTTTTTTTTTTGAAATAACCACATATTTTTTTATTGAACAAACATCTTACAAACAGTACACATGTGGTCATTACAAGAGATATACATAGATGTCTTGCAGTATTGCATCAAAGGCTATGCAAGAAGCAAAACTAAAATTTGACCATGACAGAATCTTGTGCCATGCCGAAATGTCATCCACAATCGTCCTTCGCTGTTACCGAGGCAACAATGAAGGAAGAAGAGAACTGATCTAGAGGAGCACCTTCACATACAATGATGTTTTTCAAGCCGATGATCTGGACCGCCGCAAGTGACAAGACCGAGGCTTTGTGGCATGTCGGCTGGGTTTTTTCCCGTGTCCACTAGATTCCAGAGTTGTCTACTTCATCCGATGCAATCGAAGAAGAAAAACGCCACTGCTTGCCGTCATCCACGCACCCCATTGCAAAACACCAAACACAACTAAGACAGTCGACATCAACGCCACCTGGAAGAGTGCCATGTGCCGACCATCAAACAAAAATCTCATCGGGTTTGAAGACCAGCAAGAAAACCGAGCCACCTGCTCCCCAACGCCACCCATTAGAGCACCACTAAGATGGGGGAAGAGCAGAAGCAGATTCGATGTGGTCCCGTCCCCACCATTGATGCAACACCTCTGAAAGCAAACTAGCTTATTCTATCTTCCTACCGGAGAGAACTACCAGGGTCCCCGCTCACTCTCGCCACCGGAGCGGCGGACAGGGAGGACGAGGACCCATGTCGTTGTTGATGTCGAGAGAACCAGGCAAGAATCGCCTCTCGATTGCCGCTTTGAAGCAGTTCCAGGAGTAGCGAGCATGCATGACAGCATGACTCTTGTCATGTTAATGAATTTGTGATCAAAATTAGACTCAAAACAATTGTTTATTAGACTCTAATTTATAAAGCTAGGGTCAAAATGCAGTTGGGACACGCAAGATACAATTTAGAAAAAGTGTATTTCAAAAAATGTGGACTAGAAAGTGGGGATGAACTAATCTATTATCCACATGGTACGACCGGATGGGGATGGTACTTAATTTCCACATGTAGTATCATGTATATATCCCTAGACAATTCACTAAAAAATCTACAAAACATAAAAGCTCAAAAAAAAACCTAGACGACTACCTCACCTCCACCTCCCACCTGGCAAATTGCATGATCTGCCCTAACTCCCGCACATCCTTGGCCTAGGAGAACCAATCCTTCTGCCACCGCTCGAGCTCTCCTGGCACCATCGTGGTGGCCATCACAATCACAAATCCTTAAGACACAAGAACGACCGCGTTTTAGGAGGAGATGGAGGCGTGGGAGGGTAGACGAGGACTTGCAAAGATGAGGCACCCAATAATATCTTCTGAAGCATTGCTCATATAACTTGAAAGCATGCATGGACCAATGTTGATGCAGAAATCCACAAAATAATTTGTTTTTTGTTGACGTGCAAGAATCAACATTTGACTTATATCGAAGGTCGTCGTACACTTGACAAAGTGGCAGTACGATGTTTTTAAATAGATTTAGTCGCCTCGTGGGAGGGCGACCTACATCGTATGGGAGGGTTGTCGAGAGTGGTGCCCAGCGCACGGGGCATTTAGAGTGCTACCGCTTCTGGTGTCCCACGACTCCCGACTAGTCCGAGCTTTACAAGGTCCGTGGGAATCTGAGCTCTCAGCCTTCGTTTGCCCTCCCGAATGGGCTTGGAAAAAAGAGAGTGACCCTCGACTTGAGTGTATTCAAGTGATAGTGAGTTGATTACATGCCCATGGGGGCTTTATATAGCCTAGGGGTCTGATGACCCACAAGTATAAGGAATCAATTGTAGCTCTTTTCGATAAGTAAGAGTGTCGAACCCAACGAGGAGCAGAAGGAAATGACAAGTAGTTTCCGGTAAGGTATTGTCTACAAGTGCTGAAATTGTAAGTAGCGAGTAGTTTGATAGCAAGATAATTTGTAACGAGCAAGTAACGATAATTGTAACAAGTATGCAGCAAGATAGTCCAATCCTTTTGAGGCAAAGGACAGGCCAAAACGGTCTCTTATAATAAGCAAAGCGTTCTTGAGGGTACACGGGAATTTCATCTAGTCACTTTCATCATGTTGGTTTGATTTGTGTTCGCTACTTTCATAATTTGATATGTGGGTGGATTGGTGCTTTGGTGCTGTTCTTACTTGAACAAACCTCCTACTTATGATTAACCCTCCCGCAAGAATCTGCAACTACGAGAAAAATATTAAGAATAAATTTTAACCATAGCATTAAACTCTAGGATCTAATCGGTCCCTTACGGGATAGCGCATTAACTGGGGTTTAAGTTTCTGTCACTCTCGCAACCCATCATCTATTTTCTACTCCATGATGCATTCCCATAGGCCCAAATATGGTGACGTGTCATGTAGTCGACGTTCACATGACACTACTAAGGGAATCACAACATACATACCATCAAAATATCAAACACATATCAAGTTCACATGATTACTTGCAACATAATTTCTTCTGTGACCTCAGGAACAAAAGTAACCACTCACAAATAATAAACATGCTCATGATCAGAGAGGTATTAATATGCATAATGGATCTAAACATATAATCTTCCACCAAATAAACCATATACTCCCTCCGTTCCAAATTACTTGTCGCAGGTATGGATGTATCTAGATGTATTTTAGTTCTAGATACATCCATTTCTGCGACGAGTAATTTGGAACTGAGGGAGTAGTAATCAACTACAAGATGTAATCAACACTACTAGTCACCCCCTAGCAACAACCTATAGTTCCGGTAACAAGATTGAATACAAGAGATGAACTAGGGTTTGAGATGAGATGGTGCTAGTGAAGATGTTGATGGAGATTGCCCTCCCCAAGATGGGAGAGTTGTTGGTGATGATGATGACGATGATTTCCCCCTCCGGGAGGGAAGTTCCCCGGCAGAATCGATTCGCCGGAGGGCAAAAGTGCTCCTGCCCAAGTTTTGCCTCGAGATGACGGTGCTTCGTCCCTAAAGCCTTCCCCTCATTTTTTCTAGGTCAAAATGACTTATATACCAAAAGATGAGCACCGGAGGTGGGCCGAGGAGGCCACAACCCACCAGGGCACGCCAGGGGGGGGACTGCCGCGCCCAGGTGGGTTGTGCCCACCCGGTGGCCCCCCTCTGGTGTTTATTGGCTCCAATATTTCTTAAATAATCCATAAAAATTCTCTGTGAAGTTTCAACTTATTTGGAGTTGTGCAGAATAGGTGGCCTGACGTAGCTTTCCCAGGTCTAGATTTCCAGCTGCCGGAATTCTCCCTCTTGGTGTCTTCCTTACAAATTATGAGAGAAAAGGCATTAGAATTACTCCAAAAAGCATTATTAAGGATAAAAACATTATAAATACCAATAAGAAAACATGATGTAAAATGGACGTGTCAGGTAATTTTTCCTCCTTTGGCCCATGTGCTCCCTATTAGGCTAGGAGGTGGGTTGTGGCCCATTAGGGGAGAAATTCCTACACAAGGAGAAGCCTTCTTGCTTGGGCTTGGCCTTCTTGGCTCCCTTGTATTCCCCTTTGATATTCTTTTTAGTTGGTCTCCTTTCTTTGTTTGGTCTTGACTGATGATGTGGCACTCCATGTAGGATAGGGGGTGTCACCTTAAGTAGGATTAAAATCCTCTACTAGAACAATTTTGATTTGGTTTCTAGTGTTGTTTGTGGTTTATGAATCTTGGTTTACTGTGCTAGAAGCATGGAATATTATGCATATTTTTCACTAGATTTAAGCAAGCTCTTGTCAGCATGGAATCAATTTCTTGGAAGTAATGTGCTCCGATTACATTTTTTCCCTGCCTCATACAACTCTTTTCATACTTTAATGGACCCATGCTTTCATTACATACCCCCTTGATAGAACTTACTTCCATATATTAATGATGGCATCAATCCAATCATTTGATTTGATATTTTTTACCACGAATACACATAATCGTGCATATCATATTTTATAGAAGAAAAGGGTTATAGAACCTAGTCCACTGCATGGTGTTACAGAATTTACACCATCTTACATCCACCGTTCCTACACAACCAACACACGCATATGGACAACTCACGTCTTGCCCACGTTGATAGGGCAGCGAATAAGCGATCAAT